TTCTAGGCTCCTTTCCGGCTCACCGTCCTGACCCCATCTGGCCTCGTTTTTCCCAACAGGACGTCCTACGGGACGAGGCCACAGCCGGCTTTCCTGGTAGATTGGGGGGCCTGTCTCCACACCCCGCGCCCATCACCAGAGCGGAGGGGTTTCACCGAGCGGTTTTTCCCTCAGTGCCCCCTGGAGCCGAGCCTGACGGAGGCTTCATCGGAGCAAGATGTCCAGGTGGACCAGCATCCCGCGCCTCCGATTAGTGTAACCCAGACTGTGACACCGATCTCCAACTGAGCTCACCAGCATGCGTTCCAGACGGCGGCAGCGAACAACACGTTACGCTGTTGGCGTACATGTTCAGAGGCGGGAGGGGACAAACGCTCCGTCTGCAGGGCAGCTGACGTCATCCCCAACCGGTGTGCCTCTTTGCTGTCTGCCGGCCCACATCGCAGCCGGAGGATGGAGTTTTCATCGTTTCCCTGAGACCGCCAACAGATGGACAACAAATGGCAGAGCAAATGACGGTTTTGGCAGAGAATGTGTGTAGGTGACACGAGTTTGGAGTAAAACATCATTTTATGATGAAAGTGTCTATTTTTAACCTGTCTGTCAGCTCAGATGATCTGACAGTGGCTCTCTCTCACACCCTCCACACGAAATTAGCCGGTGGCAAGACGATTCCACGGCCGTCTCGCTGAGCTTCAGCCCCGTCCGTCAGAGACCGGCCCTCTTCATCCCGGCAGCAGAGGGTCCAACGTTTTTCCCAGAGATCCCCAGCAAACGGCGCCCTGGGCCAACGAATCCCAGAGCTCATGGGGGAAAAGATTCAAAATGATGTTCTGCGGAGGGTGTGTGTGTAAATATGACACAAATGTTGAATAAAACATCATTCAATGATCAAGTGTATGTTTCTAGCCATTCTGTAAGCTCGGATAGACTCACAGCGGCTGCGCACACATCCTCCACACATAACGAGACGGTGTTTTTAATAAGGGTTTTTTTTAACTCACCGTTGCTCCAAGACATGACGAGACGCTCACACATCACAATGGTAAGCGAAATAACTCGTTGTCAACCCGAGCTGCACGATCCTCACCCAAGCGGTGTCAAACGCGCACTCAGGTGACGCAAACGGCCTTCACCCAAACGGCGTTGTGTTGATGGTGCACACACAGCTCCCCGGCGCTCACCGGCTCACATCGGCATAAATGTGGGACCGCAGGTCGGGTCCGGTGAAGGCCCTCGTTCTCTGCAAGAGTGACACACGCCTCACAGAAACAAATGCGTGCCGCCGCGGCGCAGGCCAATTTCACCCACCACGTCTCAGCGCTCGGCCACTGCTGTCAAGTAAAATTAAAATTAAAAAAAAACTTCAATTGTTGCTGGAAGGATTCGAACCTTCGCGGGGAGACCCCAATAGATTTCTAGTCCATCGCCTTAACCACTCAGCCACAACAACACAGCTACTTTCTGCAGATGGCCCTATACTAACAAA